CATTTTCATGCAATAATATTCATACTCTTAAACAATTACAGTAGATAATCGAATAGAAAAAGTTATTTTGTTACCTCAACCTTTCTATAACAAGAAAGGTTACCCGTGGACTTTCACACTTACTAACGATTAACTACAAGTTTCCTTTCTCACTCTACACGTACAATATGTTAATCTATACACAATTGGCACAATCTGTCAGTTAACCCAATTGACCAAAAACACTTAATTGTCACTTAAGGTTATATTTAGCTTGCCATTCTTTTCCACTTAATCATATTAGGTCCATCACCACTCTTTTACCACTTTGTATCACTTCTAGTGATCTCATTTCACTTCTACTCAATTTCCACCCCTTTTTTCTTTAATTTAGGGCCAAATTTAAGCCTATAGCATTAAAGCTTTATCATTCAATCCTAAACCAATCAAAAAACCTTAATTTAACTCCCGAGAACCTTTTTATTACTATAGGATAAGAAACTAACCCTTTAAGTTTTCCTGATTCAATTTCTTAATAACTTATACTAAGAGAAATTATAGTAGAATCAAAGCTAAGGGCTATATGAGACTTACTCGATAAGCTACCAATTGGAAATGCCTTCCAAGCTCCCAAGAAATCTTGCCTTAGCTAAGGATTTCTTGCTTTCCCTCTCCTTTCATGTTTCTTTGTTTCTTTCCCTCCAAATGATGAGTTGACCATGACTTATTAGGTCATTTTCTATGCTATGCATTGTGATGCAGGAAACATTAGCTGCAGCTCATGGCATAGTAAGGAAAATCCTCACTGTATGCCCACACTTCATTCTGAAACTCAATTCTTCCACACATATCTCTTTATTCAATATCCCAATGATTAAAACATCAAGTTGTCATTTGAAATTCTAATCATTCCAATCTTGTCCAGCTTAGTGCTAAATGTATGGTCTCGATAGATGTTGGCCATTTGCTCTCGGTTGTTGCCTACACTTTAATCTCCGTCAGTGTTGACAATCCTTTCCCTGTTAGCGCTAGCAGTTAGACCCTGATCAGTATTAACGATCCAACCTAGGTGGAAGTTGGCCATCTGGTCCTAGTCCCCACTGATGGTATGGTCTAGATGGAAGTATGTTGTTCAATCGTAGTTGGCACTAAAGGTTCGATCCTGGTGAAAGTCAAACATCCATACTACTGACTTTGATTAGGATCGCAAACATTGCTTTTAAATTCAAATATATAATTTGAAATTTGAAATTTTACTCAAGATCCAAACAAAGATTTTAATATTATAAGTTAAAATTTTTATATAATCCAAATAAAGAATTTAAAATCTATAAATTTCAAGTATAAGATTTCAAATTCAAATTCTCAACCCAAATTTACCCATTCAAACCCAACCTAAAAGTCCATATCCATAGGCGAATATGGAGAGCACCTCCTTGGATATGCACTCCTCCCCGAACGATCTTGCTTCCTCATGCCTATATCCATAAATGATCACCCCAGAACCTTAATTTCACCTCCTTCCCACTCCAAGATACTTCTAATGATTCCAAATCTTCTCCAACATATTTCTAATAATACTTTACTTATTTTCAAGACTCTAAGACACCCTAGGGTTCGTTAAATCTAGAATATTACATATCAACCTCATACATATATCTCAACATAAGAACATATCTCAATTATATGCATATTTTTCTTGTTCACTTTTTACACTGACTTTATCCTTATGCAAAAAGTGACTTTTTACATTAGTCAAAGAACTAGTGTAAAAAGTGAACACTTTTAGCATTGGTGGATTCTATACCAATTATAGAATTGGTGTGAAAAGCCAATTAACAGATGTGAAAAATGTTTTCTTATAATAATAAACATTTATAGTAATAATAAAAATAAATCTTATATAGGGCAACGTGGGTGTAGAAAGCAAGTTATTTAACATTTTTTTTATATGGCTATCATATTGAGTCAAATTCAAGTATTTTGGGCTTAGTTAGGAGTAGCTCTCACAAAAATATTTTTTAACATTTACCTAACTTAAGTTCAAGAACTCATGCTTAAGTAGTCATAATTCATTTCATTAAGGCCACCTCTTATTGATCATTAAAGATTAAATATCGAAAGCTACGAGTAATAATTTTTATGTAAAAATTTTCGTATTATTTTATTAATGTAATATTGCTTCAAATTCTCGTAACTTAGTTATTGTTTTAGCTTTTTTTTTTTGCCAACAATTATTGTTTTACCTATTTTGGTACAAATTATCTTTTATTAGTCTCTTAAGTAATTAATCACACTATAAATAAGTCAGTGCGTCTCATTTATGAAATTTCACCTAATATTAATCTTTAATTTGGATATTCTTTCTTTAACGTGCTTTGCCCTAAGTTTGTTTATTTTCATCGCCTCAGTATGTCTGACTTATTTTATTTATGTTATTATTAGTCTTTGGATGTTCTCTCTTTAATGTGCATTGCCCTAAGTTTGTGGGTTGGGGGGGGGGGAGAGGAGGAGAGAGAGGACAGAGAGCGTGCGCAATAAATCTGATTCTGGTTTGTTGGTTGAACTACATATAACTAATTAAATAGCATATGAATCAGGACTCAGAGAACTCAAGGCTTGGCAAACTTAGGTTGACCAAATGAAAATCCTTAGTATCCCGAGGAGAAGGTATTAATGCACGTTTGGGCAAGCATGTTCCCGTTTCATTTCAGTCTACCCGCTGGATCCACTGCATGTGATGATACAACAAATACTCTCTTCATTTATAATTGCAATAATCTTTTGGAAACCCCTCATGTTCATATTTACAAATCAATCAAAAATTTATAGTATAATTAATACTTTCTTTGCTTCAAATTACAAGATATTTTTATGAAAGATTTGGTATGACAAAATATAAAATATTTTAAGATTAATGTTTTATTAAATAGGCTTATTTCAATATTATCCTTTCCCTCTCTCTATTTAATACTAATTAAGTGTAAATATAAGGTTATTATATGAAGGATATTTTTAAAATTTTATATTCTCATTTTGAAAATATAAAGTTGTTGAGTGTATTTAATGAGATTTATTAGTATGTGAGATTTTATCCAAAAGTCTTATAATTTAAGATGGAGGGAATATTATTTTTAATTAATAATGTTCTTAATATGAATATTATCAAAATAATTATATTGAAGAGTAGGAATAAGAGATAAATTGTAAAAACTGGGTTAGAATTCATTGTATTTAACTTCACATGAACAAATTTCGGTCACATTTGGCTCAAATTAAATAGGATTCAGATTTTGTGAATAGTCTAAATTTACTTACTCAATAAGTGTCTCAGTTACAGCTATTAGATTTTACTAATATTTAAAAATTATCAAAATTCATTTCCTTTCAAAAATTCAAATCAATCAAACCATTTCTCATAAATTTAGACTCAGTGATTGTAAGCATTAAGTTCCTGTACTATTTAAGTCATTCAAATCTATATCAATAGTTTAAATAAACTTATTGATTCATCAATCTCAAGTGAAGTATGAATTTAAAATTATTGATTTGAATTTTAACATTTAGATGACACAGACATTCAATACTTGCACTAAATATAGTCACCAAATTTAAATCCTTCTCACATATGTTGTCTCTAAAAATTTGGGATTTCATACTTTTAAGTATTATATGACAAAATCACTTACAATCATTTAATTAAATAAAGTTGTTATTATTATATTATATAAGACATTTATTGAATGGGTGAATTTATGCCGCTCACCTCACCGGATCCAAATCCAAACAAAGTCAAGTTAATAGTGCCAAAAGGCCAAAGTGTGATACGCATGCAACAGTTAATTACCACTCGTCATGTTTTCATCACGTACGTGTGTTTCGTTTTGTTACCATTGTCTTTCAATCAATATGCGAGCAACCAGAAACATGTTGAGTGCCCACCACAAGACAATTATGTACCAAACACATTTCATCTGCGTGATTGATGACCAAAATGCAAAAGCTTGACACACACACACAATGTCAGGAGATTTTGAATCTATGTACATACATCATTAATACATGTATTTTCTTTCATTATATTACTTACTATACGTACTATACAATTAAAAATGAAAATGATCATAAAACATTTTTTAACTCATTTGTTGTTGGAACTGCTAAAATCTACACTATTTTATCATGATTTAGATTATTCGAGGAGAAAAGAAAAATATAAAAAATTATGTCTGGGAACATTCTACAATTTTATATGAATATACGATTCAAAATCTTAAACATACAAACACTCTTTTATATCTTATTCACTTTTTTTTTCATATAAAAGTACATATGATGTACTACTATTTGTAGCGTTGTCAATGAGAGCCAGGCCATTTACACCTCGCATTTTTTATGGATGATCTTGGAAAAAGATTGGGAATTTTTACATATATATTAAATGGCTTTTAGGCCAGATCTAGTTCTTTTAATTAATTAGGCCTGGTATTTTTCTCTTTTTTTCCGGTCAACATATGATTGAAGTTGTTAAAAATTATTTGGTTGAAATTATTAATATTACAAAATAGTTACTAATAACCACTGTTCAAGCTTTGTCGTTCTGCCTTTTTTATTTTTTTCCCATTAGGTTTTTTTTTCTTCAATTTATTTCATATTCAACTCATCATAATTTGACCATGTTAGCACAAGATTTAACTTTGTCAATGCCAGCTCATGATCCTATAAGCATATTTAATTAAAAATTATAAAAATTAGTTAACGTGGTAGACAGATCAAATTTAAAGGACTAGAAACAATAAAAATAATTATACCAACTTATAACAAAAAAGGGTTAAAAGTACAAGGATCGACTATTGTATTTTTTTCTTCAATATATATTAACTGCACATTCTATAAAAAAATTAAGAGAAATGTCATAAAAAAATAAAAAAGTGTACAAGAGTCCAATTTCCTATAAATAGCTGGCACCAGGATGAGAAAGCACATACAACCGCATTGGAAAACGTTCATTGCCCAATTTCGAGAGATCGAAGTGTGGGCAACATTAAAGTACTTATCCATCAGAATCATGTTGAGATCTTTGCTTCAAAAGTTTCTTCTTCCTCTTCCATTTCCTTCTTCAGTCGTCACTTTCTGGTACTGTTCTGCCATACTCATCATCATCATCATCTTTCAACAGAGCACTATTATAATTTCTTCATCAATTGTGAGTCTGCCAAATAATGAAACCATCCCAGCAGTAATTGTGTTTGGAGACTCTATAGTGGATACTGGCAACAATAACTACATCAACACTATGGTCAAGTGCAATTTCTTACCTTATGGTAGAGACTTTGGTCCAGGAAATCTTCCTACAGGCAGGTTTAGCAATGGTATGGTTCCATCAGACATCATAGGTACGCACGTAAAAATGGTAATTTCTACACACACACACACACACATTCTGTTCTTGCTGTACGTTACATATATAATTATTGTTTTGCTGTTTCTTTTACAGCTGCAAAATTTGGGGTCACGCAGCTTTTGCCGCCTTATCTTGATCCTGAACTGAAACTAGAAGACCTTCTCACTGGCGTGAGCTTTGCTTCTGGTGGTGCCGGATACGATCCTCTCACTGCTGAACTAGTGGTATATATAAACTGTTGCTTCATGAATGTAAAATTATTTGATATTTTATTTATAAAGTTCAATGAAAACTTAATAGTATAAGATATCAAACCTCATGTTAAGTAGTACAGGATGTTCAATAATGTAATATTTAAGTAAGTTAGTTTTTCCACGTCAACAATTATTTTTGGGGTAGAGTTTTTCATCTCACTTAGGTAACCATTAATTGATAACAAACAAAGCGAAGCAAAGAGACTTGGTAGAATGAAATATCAAATCTTATATTAAGTAGTATGGGATACTCAATAGGTTATTTTAGCAGTTTGTTCTCCCATTTTAATAGATAGCTATTGAAAGAGTTCCTTTAAGTTATTGACAAGTCGTAATTAATGAAGCTTCTCTTTGTCAACCATTCACGTACCAAATTAATAATAGAGCATCTCCTCTATGGTACTTTGTCGCCCTTCCATTTCCAACTACTCTCTCCCATATTTTATATTAGTTATATTTTAGAAAGTTTTCTTAATCCTTCACATAAGTCACTTTCTCTTGATTTTTATAACCTTTAGTATGTATAATTCCAAAAATACCTTTCAACAAATTATAAAAGAACTACAATATTTCAATTTGTATAAAAACTCTTCCCACACTCCAAATCACTCTTTCTAAAACGTGGGGATAAAATTAAAAAGTGATTTATTTTTAAGACAATTTTATTATTCTAATTAACCCATCTTGATTTGATAAATTAGTTAGAAGTGACTTATTAAAAAAGGACCTGAGGTCCTTTTTAAAATATTTGTCATAAAGCGTCAAAGTTTTCATCAAATTGTATGTTATTTATTATAAGCATTAATGGACTAACAAAACAAACAAACAAAAAATCTCGTTTCTTTGAACTTGCTCTGATTTTTTCTTTTGTTTTTTTTCTATTAGTCTGTGCTATCATTATCAGATCAACTGGAGATGTTCAAGAAGTACGTGGAGAAGATAAGGGAAGCAGTTGGAGAAAGCAAAGCAGGAAGCTTTATATCAAAAAGCATATACATAGTGTGTGTAGGAAGTGATGACATTGCGAATACTTACATTCAATATGCCATCAGAAGAGCTCAGTATGATATTTCTTCATATACTGACTTCATGGCAGCTCAAGCCTTAAGTTTCTTACAGGTATATATATGCACTCCTTATTCAAATATCCATATGATCGAATGTTTTTTCTTAATTAATTTATCCACCAAAAAAATTATTTATTCAATTTGCATGTGGAAAAAACCGAATAATTTTCTGGTCCTATTTATAGGGCAGAAAAAGAAGAAAAAAATTAATTCTATTTATAGAGTACTTACTAATTTTCAATATTCTCTTTAATTTTTTTCTTATTAAATGTTTTAAATAAAAATATTAATAATAAAATTTAAGAATATTTATTGAAAATAAAGGTGAAAAATTTTTAAATTTTAAAATAAAAGTTAATAAAATTTAAAATTTTTTTAATTTTAATCAAACAGAAAAATATTTATAAATAAAATTATGAGAATATAGAGTGCAGAATCAACATCTAATAAGTTGATTATCCAAGCACATGTATGTTGCTGCTTACAAGGATAGCAAGAATGAAGTTGGTTGATGGCAATTGTCCACTAGCTAGGTTACTATTCATAGATATTTTATTTCCACTGTTAGCTCAACTTCTGGTGCCACGTTTTTCTAGTCCATGTGAAAAGAAAACATTGGTAGAGTGACTATGCAAAGTCAATAAAACCGGAAATGATCTAGCAAAGAAATACGCCCTGATCTTCCCCCTGGTAATATAAGACACTTAAAAGTTTTGCGTGTTTTTTAATATAAAATATTTTATAAAATTTGATAAAATATTAATGAGTTATTTTTAAAAATGCTCACATATCCAATTAATTTATTTGAGTGACATGTTTGACTTATTTAAAAGAAAGTTAATAATTTTAATTAAGTGTAATTTGAGATTTCAATAGAAATTTTTTAAAAAATCAACACACTGAACTAATTTTAATTACCTTTCTTGCTCTACAATTTGGTTAAAATTAAAATGTCTTATGAATATGATTAGGGAGAATGTATTTTACTCATCTAGTCCTATTTACATGGTAGAAAGAGTATTTGTTTTGGTCTTTTTGTGAGACACTTAAAATGATTTTTGTTTTCATATTTACTCTTTTACCCTTATTAAATAAGGTGAAGGTTATTACATATTGAAATACTTTAAAGTATATATATTTAAGAGGTAGAAAGTTATTGATCAAGACCTCTTAATTAATAACATTACTAAAAACTTGGTAAATGATATAGCATGCAATGGCATTATACAATTTATATAACCGATCTTACCTAGTGAGATAAGGCTTGTTGTTATTATTGTTGTATATTTAAAAAAGTTAAGGTTAGAAACATGTTTAACTTTTAGAATGATCATGTTAGTGAAGTTTGGTAAGATTTTCTTTTATTACGATGAAACATTATGGAAGTGACTAATAAATAGGACCAAAGTAAATGCATACTATTTATTGCAACTAAAAATAAAAAAAGAATCCTTTTTATTTCCAATATCCGCATCTTGGTAATTAATCAAACCTCCTGCATACTAGTCTCAGCAAATTTTTTCTTTTTAAAACTCGAGTTTAAAAATATTTTAACTATTTTTGAGTCAACATTAAACCATCAATTATTGATTGGGGCGTGAGTGTGTGCAGGAACTTTATGGATTAGGAGCAAGAAGGATTGGGGTGTTCAACATACCAGTGTTGGGGTGCGTGCCGTCACAGAGAACAATAGAAGGAGGCTTGCAGAGAGAATGCTCAGAGTTTGCAAACCAAGCAGCTGCACTATTTAACTCTAAGCTGTCCTCTCTAATTGATACGCTTCACAAAAACTTGCCAGACGCAAGGCTTGTCTACCTCGATTCCTATACCCCATTTCTTCATATGCTTCAACGTCCTGCTCAATATGGTCAGTATATATATATATATATATATTCACATTAATTCGTTGCCTCCTCCTCTTTTACTTTCTTCTTTAAGCTGCTGCTTACCTTTAAATCATATTTTTTTTTCTTGTTAAAATTAAATTGTTTTCATTTTTATTTCACAGCTAAAATGGTAACATTTAACTAATACATCCTCCTTCCAAACCATAATGTAGGTCATTTTCAAAAATTTTTGCTAAATCCAAAATATAGGACATTGGGAATGTGTTATATATATATATATATATATATATATGTATTTTTAATTATACCCGTACTTTATTAAGTAATTGTTGAAAACGTTTTGAATAAATCAAATTCCATATTTATTACATTTAAGGGCATGATTAGAAATATGTGAATATTTTTAGAAAATCAAGATTTTAATAATATAAATTAATTAATAATAATTTATATTATGATTTGGAGGGAGTATATATATAATTTTCTTTTATTTTACTTGGATATGTATCAACAATTCTGTTTGTCCTTTTCAGAGAGAAAAAAGAAATCCTTCCAAAACAGCTGTATACTTTTTTTCTTCATGTTTTTATTGTAAAGTAAACGCAAATATAACAAATCATATCAAAACTACATATTGCGAGTTTATTTGGTAACCTTACATTTCACTTTTGGAAAGTCTAATGTTGTTTGGAAACACATTTTTATCGAAAAGGATTGGACATTTTGAAAGTACATTCAAGGGGGATTAGGAAATGGACTTGGAAACCAAACAAATTTGGAGATTTTGAAATTGAAAGTGAAATTGAAAGCAGGGGTTTTGGGGCACATTTAATGGGGAAAACTGACCTTTTTAAATATATATATATATATATATATATATACACACAAACACAAATTCCATCATGATAATTAACTTTTACTAAATTATAGGGATTTTTATCAAATGAAATTTTGACTATACTTAGAGGCACTCGGTCAAACTTGGTTTTTACTGAAATTACAATGCATTACAAAACAAGCACTATAGATTTGGTGACTCAGAGACGCCAAGGAGGGAATAGGAAAGGAGGAGGAATGAGGAAGTCAAGTTGGCTTTAATTTTTTTTTTTTTAGCAAATGGCCTTAATTTTTATTGACACTACACTCACCACATCCTGTAATTTGATCATCATGTTATATTAGGATTTGAAGTAATAGAGAAAGGATGCTGTGGCAGTGGAAATATAGAAGTGAGCATTTTGTGCAACCCTTACACTTTAGAGATGTGTTCCAATGACAAGAACTACATTTTCTGGGACAGCTACCATCCAACAGAGAAGGCCTATTCCATCCTTGCTTCCCTCGTCATTGACCCAAAAATCAACCATTTCTTCTGAGAGAGCTAATCCCCAAATAATCCACCTCTTATTATTTGTTATACTAATTATACCTTATATTTTCCCCCTTCTCCTTGCCAATATTTGGTAGTAATGTGTAACAACTAGATCTAGTTGTGACGAGTGCGATCGTTTTAGTACATTAATTTATCTGTAAGCCACCATAATCGATTGTGTGGTCTTGAAAGATAAAATTAAGGATCTATTGTGCTATATGCTTTATTGTCAACGGTATTCATAATCGAGTAGTTAACGATGATGACGAGTAAGTGATAACAAATAATTTTCGTCCCCAAAAAAAAAAAATGATAACAACTTAATAATTGATTCGTAGCTTCTTGCATTGAAAACAAGTGATTATTTATATGTGGCTAAAGTAAATATTTAGCCCTTTAATTTTATATTAGACTTTATTTTAATTTGGTTCTATAATACTATAGAGTATCTGTCAGTCATGTAATCCTAACACCATTAATTTCATAAAAAATTTATATTAAATTTTTAAATATTGAAAAAATATTCTCAAATGTTGACAAATTAATTTTAATTTTTTAAAATAACAATGATTAATTCAAAAAATAATCATTTAAAATTTATGGTATTAAGTTTATAAAACTAAAAATATAATTTATAAAATTAAGAGATCAAACTAAAACTTTATATAAAGTTATATAACCAAAAATACACTTTAGCCTTTATGTGCAAAAATTAGTAAATTTTAAATTGAATAACATTATTTAGATTTTAATTTAGTGAGAATAACAGAGAGGTTTCAAAATGATCAATTAATTTAACTTAGGTCTCAAGCGCCAACTTCTAGGAATTTGTAAGTGCGGCTCTCAATTTTACAATTTCATTGTAATGAATTTACAATTTATGTTTAAATTTTAACATCGTTGAAAAATAAATAATTTTTCTATTAAAATTTGAAATACAAGTTGCAAATTTATTACAATAAAGTTGCAAAATTGAGAGCCAAATTTGTAAGGGTTAAAGGGCAAACTGTCATGGAATTTTTTTTTCTAGGAGCGCCTGGGCCCTAAACTTTTTTTTTAGAGCATTTTAGCCCCAAACTTTTCAAAAAGAAAGCATTTTTGCCCCACCATTAGAAATTATGAACGTTGATTATTAATTGAAGTTTGACCAAGGATTAAATGGCATATTTGCCCTGGAACATTTTCTTTAGGGGAGCTAGATACCCTGAACTTTTGTTTGGAACTTGTTTACCCTAGAAGTATCAAAAAGATAGTAATTTTGCCCTACCTTCTTCTTCATCCTCCTCCTCCTCCTTTTCCTTCTACTTCTTTTCCACTAGCAAGCTCCCATATTACCATATATTAAAGTCTAAATGTGAAGTTGGGAAAAATAAGTGTCTAAGATTTATGAGCCTCACAAGAATTCTAGCACCTAGCTCGACACTTTTAGCCCTAAAAATGATCACTCAAGCCCACAATGTCACCACTTTGTCCATCAAAGGCAAATCCACCATTCTTAACTTCCCCTAAATTGCCTTTGTTCTCCCTCGACAATTGCCACATGCTCCCTGTGTAACATCCAAGTTGCTGCTTTCGCTACCGTCACCATGGTCAATTTTGATGTTGTGAAGCCCTCAAAAGAGTCCGAGTTAAGGTTGGAGTATATGGAGTTATCATAGTTGAGTGAGATAATGGAATTGTCGAATATAGAAGAAGAGAGCTTCCACATAGCCAAGTTCGTATGGATTGACTCAATGGATAGTTGATTGTTTCTAGGTATAGATATGAGTTTAGATTATTTGAAATTGCTTGCTATACATGGACTTGTTCTTGCTGCTATTATTGATGTTAATGGAGGTATTCTTGCTATCTAAGCGGTTTTTTTTTAAATGTCACATGGCAACATATAGCAATTAAAGTCAAAGTAATGGTCCATACTGACGGCAGGGCAAAATTACTCTCTTTTTGAAAATTCCAAGATAAACAAGCTCTAAACAAAAGTTTAAGGTACCTAGTGCCCCTAGAGAAAAAGCTCCAGGATAAATATGCTATTTAACCCTCAGTCAAACTTTAGTTAATGGTCAATGTACATAATTTCTAACGATGGGGCAAAAATGCTCTCTTATTGAAAAGTTTGGGGCAAAAATGCTCTAAAAAAAATTCATTGTGCCAGGCACCCCTAGAAAAAAAATTTCAAGACAGTTTTGCCCTTTAACCCAATTTGTAAATTCTTAGAAGTTGGCACTTGGAACTTAAACTGAATTAATTAGTCATTGTGAGACCTCTCTATTATTCTTCCTTTAATTTATTTGAGGAACACGTTTTCTTCAAATAAAAATTTTTTCTTTATATTTTTAATATGAATGGGGTAACAAATTTTAAAATGAGTTGTATGATAATAAAACAACTTGTTATTCACATTTTTAATATGAATGGGATAGAAAATTTTAAAATAAACCAATTTTTTGTATATTATGAAAAAGAAATAAATTCCAAAACAAAAATATATGTTTCAGATTTAATGTTTTAATTTGCAAGAGTACAATAATTTATAGACTAAAATAAATTTTTATCTATATATTTGAGTATAAATGGAATAGCAAAATTTAAAATAAAAATGCTGTTGTTTATTTATACCTTCTAATAACTAAAATACTATTAATTTTTTGTAAGATCATCAGATTAATACTTACTTAACATTTAACTTTATCAGGTTTTATGATATATTTAGTACATAGAAAATGGAGGCAGGGGGCAGAAATTTTAATTGATTTGATTGAAACAAAAATTAAAAAGTAAGATTAAAAGTTTTTAATTGCTTTTATTTACTTTTACATAGTTTTTCTATTGAAATCTTATGATTTCATTTGTCCATTTTATTTTACAGTGAATTCATTAAAATCTTCTTTCTCTTTCCTTTTATTTACTTTTTATTGGTATAGACTGTTGGAGACTTGAAGCTTTTAGAAAAGGATTAAAGTGCAAATTAATCTAACCATAAAGTATTATGCGAGAATCCATTGAAATTCTTAACTCTAAGTTTGGTATAATTTTACCATGAAATCTAAGAAATGGCGCAAAAATCATCAATTTGTAATGGAGGTCAAATGTCTATTTAGTAAAGGTTGTTAGTCCCACATACCATGCCATGTGTAAATGAGTTAGAGGCAAAAAATCTATATATATACTATATATAGTACAATTTTGTCTATCAATCATAAAAACAATGCAAAATTCTCCCAATCTGTGACAAAGATATATATGTTAGCAAAAGTTAACCTTAAGCACAATGTTTTATTTTGTCTCACGTCACAACCATAAAAACACACTTCGATTCAAAACTTATTTAAAAGCTATTGTGACTTTTACCTCTTTCATTTTTTTTCTTGCTATCCAAGTTAATTCAAACCCTCTTTCCTCCTCTCCTAGCTATGAAGTGTGAAAGAGAATATTGCACCTAACGTTTATTCTTGTTGTGACATCCTCGAATTTATGAGTGTTTAAAGGGGTAAATTTGTACAATCAAGTGATTAATAAGTTAAGGATATTTTTAGATGACTAATGTGGTTATTGGATCATTGGACAGCCTCTGTGAGGACATTAAAGAGAGGCAAACCATAGAATTCAGATTCAATGATGATAGTTATGTGATTTACAAAGACTGAATCTGTGTATCAAGTGATGAGGAGATTAGAAACATGATTATGGAAGAAGCACACCATAGTGAATACACAATTCACCCTGGTGCCACCAAGATATGTTAGGACATGAAATAAATATGGTGGTGGCCTAGAATAAAGAAGGATGTGACAGAGTATGTGGCTCGATACAAAACATGCCAAAAGGTCAAGATAGAGCACTTGAGGTTAGATAGTGTGTTGCAACCACTCGAGATTCTTGAGTGAAAATGGAATAGCATATCCATAGATTTCATTATCAGTTTACTTAAGACTCAATTAGGTTATGATGCAGTATGGGTGATTGTGGGTCATTTAACCAAGTTAGCACATTTTCTAGCTATGAAGATGACTTACTCTCTTAAGAAGTATGTGGAGGTCTATGTGAATGAGATCATAGGGCTTCATGGAGTGCCAAAAAACATTATCTCTAATTGCGATCCAAGTTCACATTAAACTTTTAGAGAGCATTATAGAGAGCAATGGGAACCAAATTGAGGTTTAGCATGGCTATCATCTACAGATAGACAGCCAGACTAAAAAAACTATCCAGACATTAGAGGATATGTTGCGAGCCTATGTTCCAGAGTTGAGGGGTAGTTAGGACACTCATCTTCCATTGGCAGAATTAGCCTACAACAACAGTTACTACTCTAGTATTGGAATGGCTCTATATGAGACTTTATATAGGAGAAGATGTAAATGGCCTCTGTATTGGACAAAATTAAGTGAGAGAAGCTTATTGGGTTTGGATTTGGTAGACCAAACAACTTAAAAGATTCAAATGATTAAGCAAAAGCTATTAATAGCTCAGAGTCAATAGAAGAACTATATAGGAGGCTGTTGGGATTCTTAGTAGGTGATCACGTGTTCTTAAGGGTCACATTAATGATTGGTATTAGGAGATCAATAAAAGCTAAGAAGTTGACTCCTAGGTTTAATAGTCCCTTTGAGATTTTAAAGAAATTAGGACCTGCGACTTATTAGATTGCCTTGTCGCCTCATTTGTCAAGAGTTTATGATGTTTTTCATGTGACTCACCTTAAGAAGTATCAACTGAATCCCACTATAAGCCAAAAGATGTAGAACTTTAAGAGAATTGGACATGCAAAAAAGAACCAGAGCAAATTGTGGATGTAAAAGGTGGACAATTGAGAAATAAGAGCATTTGTTTGGTTAACGTCTTCTGGAAGGGAATGACTTCTTGTGATGTGACTTGGAAAATTGAGGACAAAATAAGATAGTTGTATCCTCTCTTGTTTTCATAGGTATGTAATTGTATGAAATTCTAAAATTTAAGGACAAAATTCCTAAAAGAAAGGGAGAATTGTAATATCTTCAAATCCACATTTTGAATTTATAAGTGTTTAAAAGGGTAAATTTGGAAAAATCAAGTGATTAAAAATTTAATAATATTTTTGGATGACTAACATTGTTATTAGAACATTAGATAGTCTTGAAAGAAGGTTA